GTCAAGGCCCAGAATTTGGTACCACTTGAAGGTCCGTGGTACTGTAGATCTGGTCATTTTATTCTTTGTGATTAAAAACGTTTTCATGAAATAAACTAGATACTGGATTATTCGAGAGAGAGAAATTGTGCCTAGTAAAGAACAGAAGAAGCATGCAAGCAAGAGGATGCCAGTGTCACCATGCAGTAAAATGGGTTGCTGACTAATTGTCTTAAATTGCCCTCCTGGAATGAATAAAGTATTTTGACTTGAATTGAATAATTAATACAAGGAGTTCAACTAGCTCTTTTGTGAAGAATCCCAAGGCGTTTGTTTCAATGGTAGGGCTAGCCAGCTTGTTCCTAACTCTCATTACCCTGTGTGTAAAATGTCAGGTAATCTCTGGGTCACTACCTTTCAGGAGGTTTGAATTCTTGTAGTGAGGGCTCTCATAACGTTTGCTATTCAAGACTAGTGATTCATGTCCTTTCAGTTCTGTTAAGCATAGGAATTGGTCTTGCTACATTGTCCATCTTTGTAATGTGTCGAAGAATACAGGACACTATTTAAAAGAGGTCTTTGTAACTAAACTATGTTTTTATCTTTTTAAAGGAGGCCTCATATTTGCCTTCTATCAGCACTCTATCTGCGGAGAGTGAACACAGAGAGACCCTCCTGCTGACTGTGTCCCTGGCCAGTCTTGGGCAGGTGTCAGTTAGTGGTCGGACCGGTGGCCAAACTCTTGACATGGCGTTATCAGGATCCCATGTGTACAACTCTCTGGTGGCATGGTTTCTGTCTTTGGTGAGTATTTTACCAATAAATCAAAAACATTAGGGGTCATTATTATTCCTCCATTCATTATCAGAAAGCTGCTTATTCCTTGTAAGAACTGTGGCGACCAGAAGCCTATTTCAGAAGTATAGGGTATGAGGGTGGATCACATCCTTGGCTGGGTATCAGTCTGTTACAGGGAAATAGACACAGGCATGAGTTAGAAATACCATTTAATCTAGGCGGGAAGTCTGTAGGAAGTGGGAGAAAATTCACAGAAGCACAAGGAGAACATGAGTAGGCCCTGCAGTGTGAATTTGAACCCAGGCCTTAAGAGCTGTGAGGCAGCAGTACTAACTGCCACACTACCATGCCACTCAGGTCATATTTATTATTGATCCAAATATGTCTTGACAAAGCCCATGTTGAGGATATTTTCAAATTGGTAGTCCTGTTCCAAGACTTTTCAATGTTTTTTGATGGAAGCCTGTGATACGCTCAGCTTCTTGATTTTGTATTCAGATTGAATCTTCTAAGAACTGACCGTTAGAATTATGCTATAATGGAGAGCAACAGTTTCTAAAACCTATACCCGCACTAGCATTTAAGCAGCATTGTTAACTTGTGTGCCTTAATTGTAATTAAAATCCTTAACCCTTAAATTAAACAGGCTCGACGTTATTCATAAGAAAAATTAAACGGAACAATTCGTCTGTTAAAAAATTATTTTGTATTCCTTCAACACCAGCCAGCCAAAACTTTGAACCCCTGTCACAAACACAGCAGTTAATACCCAGTTAGATTTTCACGACCACTTCTGCAAAATAAATGGTGGTCTAGTCATTGTTGACATTAAAACGCAACAGACTGGAAGAGCATTTCAAAATCCCTGGATCCTCGTGTGGGAAACGAAGACTGGATTCCACTTGTCTTTTACAGGTGGGCCAGCGCCCGCTTGGCCGTGCTGGAGAAGAGCTGCACCCTCCTTTCTGGGTGGCAGGGCTGCAGCAGCTGTGGAGAGAGGACGGCCTGGCGCTATACGTGTGCGCTGCCTCGCCTGGAGAGAGTCTGCAGCACAGCAGGCGACACAGAGTCAGGACTCTCCTCTTTGCTCAGCTGGGG